CCGTGGGAGCGCTGTCATATCGGATGGCCAGCGCCCAGCGGTGAGGGGGAGAGAAGCCGCCCCCAGGACGAGCTGTGTCGGCAGCATGGCGCCCTTGTTGCCATGGCGCCCTGTGGGGCCGCACTGCTCGCACACCTCTAAGGCCGGCCCTGAGTCTTACCCTTGCATCTGGTTGACCTCTAGTCCTGATGACATTCCTTATCTTGAGATATCGGATTCTGGTCTCCATGTTGATGGTGGGAAATGTCCTCCCTGATCACAGTGAGCTCTGGTGGCCTACGCACAGCCTGGCAGAAGAAAACTGTAATGACAAAAAGATGAGAGAAGCTCAGAGATCCTTCCAGTGAGAAATCTATAGAGATCAGAAGTAGAATGAAGACACATAGTAATCTAAAGCCTTGAAATAAAGGATCCATCCACTCCAATCGATTCTAGTTAGCGGTATATGGTTTACTTAAGTTGACGATATATACTGGATCACAAAGCTGGATACAAGCAGTGTGACAACATAGTAATAGAACAATGGAGTTTTATACATGATCTTCAACACTGAGCCACATCTGGGGGCAGGGCCGGCCTTAGGGGTGTGCGAGCAGTGCGGCCGCACAGGGCGCCATGGCAACAAGGGCGCCGTGCGGCCGACACAGCTCGTCCTGGGGGCGGCTTCTCTCCCCCTTACCGCTGGGCGCTGGCCATCCGATATGACAGCGCTCCCTAGTGGTCACTGAGGGGCGCTGTAAAGCTTTCTCGCACAGGGCGCCTAAAGGCCTAAGGCCGGCCCTGTCTGGGGGACATAGCCAAGGGGATGGGGCAACTCCTAACTTTCCAAAATAACAGTCTCTCGACACGATTAATGACTTCATGAAAGATGAGCAGATTGTCCTTTGGGATAATAGTTATGTTCATGTCGTTAAACAAAAATAAGGTAGTTAATGAAATGTGATGATAGTAGCTAAAATAAAATGCTTTGCTGATGGGGGATAAATTGGCAAGAATAGGGTGATAGATATGATCTGTTTTACAGAACTATTATATATTGTGTGTATGGCCTCTAGTGATCCCCCCGCCCCCTACTACTTGACTATGCTAATGTGGAAGAATCTGAAATGCAATTGTATGCTATACTGATTGTGCATCATGTGCTATTTTATTGTTTTATTCTACTTTGGACAATTAATAAAATACTTTGAAAGTTAAAATAAAATGCTGAATAACAATGTTCCGGGACACGGGTGTTACATCCTCTCTCATGAACCTCGATACAGAAGAATTCCGGAACACAAGTAAGGCAGCTCTCGGAGATGCATACAAAATGGAGTCAGAGGAAAGTTTCAAGTTTATACCCCATCTTATCCGTCCCTCCTGACTGATAGGGTTCATTCCTGTGTCTGTCCTGCAATCTCTACTGTGTGGCGGGGGTCCTCCCTTCGGGTACCCGGGACAATAGCAGCTAATATTATACATATTGTGGTGTAAGCCATGCACATGCGCTGCAGTGCGTTGTTAGAACACATCACAGTACTTCATCAATTTAAGTGTGGCAGCGTATGGCAAAGCGTTGTGATACGCTGCGTTGCGATTAAATGTACGCCTGTATCATTTTATCACAAACGCCAACACAGCGCACAAACAATTTTTAACATAAGTCGCTTATTTACAGTTTTGCGTTACTTCATTTGTCTACCGTTTCGCAAAATTTTATCTTTTAGATTTTATCTTTTAGATTTAGTCGGAAAAGTATTTTTTGCGTGCACTGATAGTGATATTAGTGCTTTATCAATTGAATTGTGTATTTTTATCCGTTTTATATTGATTTGACAAACATTTGCGCAATTATCGCAGGACCTACAAAATTAGTAGCACCATCTTTTTATTCTACCAAACTGTGCTTTTAAAAAAATATATGATTTGGGGGGTCTTTTACAAATGCTATCAATGCAGCAGTAAAAAAAACAAAAAAATGGGAACAACTGCAAAAATGGTGTGGCTGAGGTTAGAAGCGTTCCGGGGGGCATGGCAGCGAAAGGGTTCTCACATGTTAAAATCAGAATTTTCGCATCGAAAATTACTTTAAACCCCGAAACAATTATACATTTTCTTAAAGCAGAGGCCCTGTAGATATTTGCACAATTGTTCATCAAATCAATATATCTAGGAAAAACAAAATAATCAGTTTAGTGCACAAAAACACTAATATATATATATACAGGGCTCAAAATTTCAAGTCCTGAGCTACTAGCCAGGCCTTAAGAGTTACTCGCCACCAGTTGCCCCACCTAACCCCAACCCTGCCTCGGCCTTAACCCCGCCCCTAAACCCACCCTCTTAAATTATCTTATGAAATTACACTTTTAAATGTTAAAGGCAGAAGTTACAAAAATAAATATTAACGACAACAATATTAACATAAAGCAATGTAAACATTGCGGCCCTCCACACCCCCACCTATAAAATAAATACCCTCCCCCCTGTTCTCTGCCCCCCCATATAAAATAATACCCCACCGTTCTCTGCCCCCATTCTACTGCACCCTGATTGGGGAAATACACCATTCACCAACATGAGGATAACATTCTGAAATATGATGTTAAGAAATACAAACCTTTCCCGATGTTCTCTCCGCTGCTGTAACAACTCCGGGCAGAAGGACTTATGAAAAGCCACAGAGACCCCTTTGAAACACGACGAGGATTACTACGACGAGGATTACTACTGTGAAACAGCCTATCTAGGAAAAAAGATGTCTTGTATAAGATGCTTCCTGTCTTAAAGTTTGTTTCCTGAAGAAAGAAAATGTCAGTTCTACATTTAAGGAAGTGGTAAAAAATCTGCTTCCTGTTTTTAGGGGAGTTGAATCTGCGGACATTGAGAGAAGAGAAGGGAAAGCCTTGCATTGTAGCAGCAACTAAAATGGCTACGCTTGACAAAATGGCCCTTGTTAGCAAGTCCTCAGAGTTTCACCACCTGCACATAACTAGGTCACCACTAGTGATGGGCTGCCAGTTTGAATCAAATGTAAGTTCGATTCGAACATTGCCTGTTCGAGCATTCGCCAAATGCCGAACTTTTTGGGATGTTCGCGGTCTATTCGACCGCGCAACGTCCCAGAAGGCAATGGATCTTATTGATATCTACTGGAGATCTGGATACCTTTAGCAATGCGCAGCACTATATCCAGCACCCCGCTATTGGTCACAGAAGGTAAGGGAGGCAGAGGTTCCACAAGCGCCACCAGGGTTAGGAACAGAGTGATATTGTACGGGCACTGGGTTGTCACCCTGAAAAAGAAAAGTCAAGTGGGAAGTTAATGCACAACTGAAGTCTAAGACCTTACACTTAATTCACACAATGCCTGGGTAAAAAGCTTTATTGTTGCCATATAACCAATTTTCAAATCTCAATGTCCTCAGCTGAAAAGAAGTTTTTTAAAAAAAAGGTTCCGTCACACTGAGTAATTTGGAGCTTCACTAGAACATCTTCAACACTCACTAGGATTTCTATTTTTGGTGCCTGGTTGACACAACCGAGTGTAGCGGGTTTGTGGCATGTCCGTACGATAACAGCCGTACGGGCCGGTGTGCGCAAGCGCACACTGCCCGTTCGGCATTGCGGTCATTGGAAGCCCGCCCCTCAGGGGGCATGGCTTGCGATCATCGCAAGTACGATCTGCCTATGCAAGATAGGCAGATCGTACGTTTTTTTAAGTACCTTACAACCATTGCAAGACAAAAGTCTTGCAATGGTTGTAAGGTGTGTGCCCAGCCTTAGAGCCATGATTGGGCAAAGTCATGATGACTTTGCCCAATCATGGCTCATAGCTAAGTCCCAGCAGCACTGTGCCGCCCCAATGGGGCATAGAATATGTTGTAGAAGTTAGTATAGATAGAAGTTTTACATAGTGTGTTTGCCTATATATTTTCTCATAGTTAAATCCATGTGTTATCCTATGTTGCCATCTAGTGGCCTTTTGTTGTAAGGTACATGTTTTTCTGTAATTATTCCTCATGTGACGATGTATTTCCCCCTAGTGTACGCCCCTTCCTGCTTCCTGTGTGCAGTACTTGCTGTGTCATGGCCACAGCTACTAGCCACATGTAACAGGACACACATATAATCTGCACAGTATGTAGGAAAGGCATCATTTTCTGACTGCACAATGCTATCATCATTCATCTGCTGTTCCTGCCATCTGCTGTAACCCTGATGTTAAAGAATAAACACCTCTTTTGAATGAATCGGTATTGACGAGTTCAGCTATCTGACGAGGATTGTCCGCAGTGAGTATATCTGCTTATACAGGCCAGGCATTGAGGTCTCAGCAAGGGATATATTTCGCTATCACAACAATCGGAGTCAGAATAAGCACACTATATAAGGCTGCTTACATCGCAGCCCTACGTAGTGTGTTGGTGCAGTCAAAAAAGAGTTCTATAGCAGAGTTCTATATACAGTGTTCTATATACAGCGTTCCATATACAGCGTCCTATATATACAGCGTCCTATATACAGCGTCCTATATACAGCATCTTATATACAGCATCCTATATACAGCGTTGTGTACTATAGCAGTCAGTCATACTGGTCTATTATAGCAGTCGATCAGAACAGTTGATTCTAACAGTCAGAAAGTAGTAAAAAAGGAGTTAATAATAGTGGGCTTACTCCAGTCAATATAGGAAATCCGTTGGCACATGTAAGTATAACTAACAACGGACGACCGAAATCAAGGCAGAATAATAACAATAAAAATAGTGGGGAACAACAAGGTAGTAAACTTTTGTCCCACAAAATGAGAGGAATTAAATGTATGTACACCAACGCTAGAAGTCTGGCAAATAAAATAGAGGAGCTTGAAATTAGGCTAATTGAAGAGGACTTCGACATAGTGGGTATAGCGGAAACCTGGCTGGACAGCACGCATGACTGGGCTACTAATATAGAGGGGTATAACCTGTTTAGGAGGGACAGAGGTGGGAGAAGAGGGGGGGGTGTTTGCATTTACGTAAAAAATAATCTATATGTGCATATAAGGGACGATATCACGTCAAATAATGGGGAAGACGTGGAAACTCTATGGCTGGAGCTAGATATGACGGACGCTAGCCGTAAACTTCTCGTGGGTATTTGCTATAAACCTCCAAATATAGGGGAAGAGGGAGAAGTCAATCTTCACTCACAGATAGGAATAGCTGGGAGAGAGGGCAATGTAGTCGTGATGGGTGACTTCAA